TCTTCTGAAAATTAACATGAAGCTTATTACATAAGGTAATAAATATTAGAATACATGATCCACATCTAGTGTGTTTATAACAACAGTACTTTTTAAAATATTTCTGTATTTATATATAAAAGTATAAAAAATTTCTTTATAACAATTTTATTTATATATTTTTACGAAATTTATGTTCTCGCTAATTATTACTACGACATTGCTTTTTATTTTTATTTTATATATTTTATATATATTTCATGTTAATTTAATGTACTTAATATTCACGAGCGGTTCTCGACGATAAGATCTGAAGGTCTTCTGCCTGAGTCTACGCGTTCTTTTTTGTTTTTATTTTATACCTGTATATTTTGTTACATTTTTTTATTGTGTAACGATTTTTATCTTAACTACCTTTATTCTATAAGTTTATTGAATATTTAAGCAAAGGAACAACAACAACAACAAAACAAAAAATTCGTAAAATCTTTATCTTCTAGGTCTAAACATTCCGCCAAATGTTTTTATAATACTTTTTTTAAAATTTAGCAGAATTGTTATTGTTTTAAGTTGACAACGAAGAAAAAACTTCAAAGTTTCTACCCAACTCAAAGCAAACAAATCTTTTTGTAAAAACTTTTGATTCGTAAAGAAGCAGAAAATACGTAACTCTTGAAAATCTTAAAACTGTGCGTTATACTAAGGTGATATGGTTAAATGATAAGTTTTTAAGCATAAATAAGGCAAAGTTTAGTTTGAAAAATATATTATATAGAATAAGATTACAACTGTTTCTTGCAAATTAAACTTGAATGCTGTCTTCTTTCAACGCTAAAACAAAAAACGTTAAAAATATTAGAGAACTTACTGAAAACTATAATAACAAAAAAAGTAAAGTTTTTAAATAAACATCGCTTACGATTATTATTTGCCTCTGCCTCTGCTTCTGCTACCACCACCGCCGCCGCCACCACCGCCTCCACCACTTCTGCTACCTCCACCGCCACCACCACCACCTCCTCCGCCACTTCTGCTACCTCCACCGCCACCACCACCACCTCCTCCGCCACTTCTGCTACCACCTCCCCTAGGGTCAGCTACTTCATTTCTAAATCAAAAATAAAACTCAACTATTAATTTATTTTAATCACCCAATAATTAGATAAAATATAGGTAAAGGTAATACAAAACAACTAAGTACGTTCTCTAGCATTGTCCTTCAAATGTTATGTCGATATTATTACCAATAATACAAAATATAGCATAATGTAATAAAAGCTTACATCTCTTTTTTTCCGTAACCATATCCACCTCCGTATCCGCCTCCGTATCCCCCATCTCGTTCTCTATATTTAGGTAAAACAAAAAAAAACATGCGTTATTTATAGTTTCATTCGAACTAAGAATTAGTCAAACAATTTTCTCAAATTCTTACGTTTCTCTTTTTCCGTAACCGTATCCACCTCCGTATCCCCCATCTCGTTCTCTATATTTAGGTAAAACAAAAAAAAAACATGCGTTATTTATAGTTTCATTCGAACTAAGAATTAGTCAAACAATAGTTCTCAAATTCTTACGTTTCTCTTTTTCCGTAACCATATCCACCATATCCACCTTCACTTTTATCTTCGTCTTCATTTCTAGATCAAAGATAAAAACACGGTTTAATGTTTGAAATAATAAAATATATACAATCTCGTATTATATAAATAATATATACATGACTGCAGCAAAAAGAAAACAATGTTTGGTTTATCGCTACGCCCCGTTTGCTGTAACGTGCTATCATTGTATCAAGTTATCAAGTGTTTCTTTACAATTAAAAAGGTAAAAAAAAATTTGTTCAAAACTTGATCTGTTTTAAGTTAAAATAAGTTAAGAGAAAAAGAAGAACAATTTTTCAGTTCGTTTTTAATAAAGTGTAATTTCTGATGGCAATAGAAAACTAACCAAATAATGCATTTTAGGTTGCTCATAAATGTTATTTGACAATTTTATAGGGTAAATATGATTAATTTTATTGAAAAGTGTTTTAAATATTCTAGGAGTTAGTTTATTACGAAGTTTGAGCATAAAATAAGAATCTGTTAAAAATTTAACTGAAAAATATTGGGTGTGTGATGAATTTTCAATAGTTTTTTTAAAACTTTTTTATTATAATTAATTTAGAATTATAAACATGTATTTTAATTTAGAATTATAAACATAAGTTTTAAAAGAATAAAGCCTACATCTCTTTTTTGCCATAACCATATCCGCCACCGTATCCTCCATATCCTCCATATCCTCCACCATAATCACTCAATTTGTTTGAAAATAAATCTTTGTTTTCCTAAATTGAAAAACTCATTTATACTTCCAAACTAGTCTATTTGAAAATAATAAAATAAAAATTTAACTAAAACTAAACGCGATAAAAACGTTTAAAAAATAAGAAACAAGTCTAGCGAAAAAAGAAATAATAAAAAAAATGAAAGTTACTTCGCGATTAGATTCATCTTCGTTATCATTGTCTTTATTTCTAAATGAGATAATGTAATTAGAACTTTGCAAATTTTGAAATACCGAAACTTTTAAAAACAAGGATAGTATTCACTTTGTATCGGCAATAATATCTTTTGCATGCTTGAAAGGAGCTGCTTCACCTAGCTAAACAATAAGTTGCATATATTTCAAAAGTAACTTATTAATTAATATGTATAGTGTTACATTATTATATAGAAAACTATGTTTTACAATAATATAAATATATAAATATATAATATAATCGTTAATTTTACTCACAAAAACTTGAAAAGAAATCAGGAACGTAACAAAAATGCAAAGATAAACCATTCTCTCTGAGCTTCAACTAACTTTGTTCAATGCTAATTTTTACCCTTTTTATACAATCTACTAACTAATTACAAAAACACCCTGAAAGTATTTATGAAACCAAAAACTCGCGTTAATCGGAAAATGATAATTTCCAAACAATAGAAAGTTACTAACTTTAATTGTATACGAGTAAGGAGTTATTAAAGTAATTAAAACACCTACAAAATACATCACTATTCTAATACGTTTTTAGGGTTGAGTGGGATGTATTACGGCAATTTAATTTTATGCATTTAATAGATTGGTAACTATTTAAAAAAACATGATTTACAAAAAATCGCCCAATTGTTCAAGGTTTCGGAATATGGAAATTTCAAACAAATAAAGTAACATTTCTTTTTTGGCCTTTTTTGATTTGCTAGCTTTTAAGAAGCAATACTATTGTTTACAAGACAATTTAAGCTATAAAAAAAAAAAAAAAAAAAACATATGAAATAAATTAAACATGTCTACTATATTTGACTTGTTTAATTTGTCTTTACTAACATAAGTAGGAAAACGATTTTAGTTATTAATATTTTAAATTTACACTCGAATAACAAAATTTTTTAGAAGCAACTTTGACGCACCAATTCTCAGTCCCAGAACGTTTTTTAGGTTATGACGTTATTACAAAATTATTTTTGTAATATGTTTAATCACAACTCATTTAAGAAACACACCAAAGGTATTTTTTAATCAAGAACTCGCATCATTTGGATAACGGTAATTTGCAAACTAACGAAAATTTCCAATTTTAATTGAGTAAACACGCACGATACGACATCACAATTTTAATATTATTTTAATTTTTAAGTGAGGCAAATGATAATATATACTTATATGTTTTATATATTGTTGCCTTAAATATTGAATATGGTAGGGTAAGACGGGACAAGTTGGCATATGTGAAATTTTGAAAAGAGTTTTTGCAAAACTCTCTGTCATGTAGCAATAGTTTTTGTTAGTATGTTTGGTCATAGTTAACTTTTTTAAAGTTTTTTTTCATAAAGTTTATAAAAAAAGTATACCTAGTTTGATTTAAAATTAAGGATAGTTTGTTCGCCTTTACTATTCCGCCAACTGATGGTGAGCGATTGTTCCCCCTTAGATCATTTGAAAAGATTTTTTTTTTTGTAAATTTATATATTTAACTTAGCAATTTTTCGAAAACGAAAGTAGAAAGTTCAAATGCGATAAAAAATTTTAATTTTTTAATAAATTTGTGTAGTGTAAAATGAAATCGGATTGATGGGATACCAATATATAAAGTAATTTTATAATTACTTAGATTAAGACCGAGAAATGCATCTATTAAAAAAAATTAATATGGTATTTTTAGGTACATCAGTATATTATTAAACATTGGTGTCATTTAAAAGCTTTATAAAGTGAAGGACGCAAAATCCATAGTAAGTTATCTTGCCTCAATCACGTGGCAAGGTGTTACTTTATGAATTTTACATTTTAATTTTTAGTACAAGTTTTTCTACTTGCAGACTGAAAATTAATGAAGACAAATTAAATAATTTAAAACAATACCTTTTAAAACAAAACAAAAATGTGAGAGTTGATAATATTAGTAGTAATGTAATAAAAAAAATCGATAATATATCGTATCGATACGCAACGGAAACTTTATTGGATGCATTGAGCTATTAGTAAAACTTGAACCTTTTCCTCGCCCAACACTTGAAAACTCATGGAAACAAAGAAAAGGGTTGTATCTCGTTTTTTTTTACTTCAAACATAATTTCTTAACTAGCAAAATCATATTTGAAAAATATTTCTCAACCATTGTTGATTCTATTCCGATGTGTACAAAACGTAGAACCAGTTGAGCGGTTCTTAGCATTCATTCCCATGCATAATCATTTTGCAGTTTCTATGCTTGAAATTGCTTTGAAAAAGTTAGTCTGCAATCAACATTCAAAATTGCCGTTGCCAGTCATACGACAATGCCAGTACTATGTCTGGACATACTTTGATTTACAAGCAAGAATTTAAGAGATCAACGTTCTCGCTGAATACATTCCATGTGCTGCTTACTATTTGAACCTCGTTGGAGTGAGTGCCGCGGAATCCAACGGAGTTGCTTTTTTGCATTAACGCGTCAATGTCAAAGTTCCTTGCATCAACGCATCTTAAAGTCAAAATTCCTTGCTGGAATACGTGTTAATTTAGAAATTTCTTTATCAAAACCTCCAATCAAGAAACACAAGTTATTGATTTTTTGTGCATTGACATGTTACAAACATTTCATGATATATCAATCAAATTTAATGATATCCGTTATTGAGAAAAAGCTCTTTTAGGTTCCTTGACAAGCTTTGAATTTATTTTGACAGCATAATTGTTTTTGAAATTGTTTGGGCTCACAATCCCATTATCTTAATACTTGCAAACAACTAGAACGGATATATTTTGAGCCAATAAGATGGTTCAAGATAGTATCAATCAATTAAAAAATTTTGGTTCCATTTTTCAAGCAGCTACAAATTTTCCAGAAACTTGCAAATAGTGAACTAGAAAAAAGGAATCTTGACATTGACTACTTGAAAGTGCGAAAGATAAATTTCCTGTCAATCTTTAAAACATGGTAATGGATCAAGAAACCAGTAATTTAAAATAGAGATTCTTTAAGCATGGTAGTTTATATGTTAATTTATTTTATTTAGATCCAAGAAATTTTGCAGAAGTTTTGCAAAAAATGCATGGGAACGCATTGTAGCACATCAGTGAGTTGCTCCAAAAATTTAATGTCAGTGTAACAAAAGACCAGCTTCAAACGGAACTATTAGACTTTACTAGGAAATGGAAAAGTTTCAAATTAATTTTTGAAGATGAATACAATTTACTATTTGACACAGAGGTATCTGACTCAGTCTCGGACAAAATCCGACAATCTAAATCTATAGAATTTAAAACTATTCTTCTAATCCCAGCAGTAAAAAAGAGCGAAAGCCACAGAAATAAACGCAAGTCTTGCAAAAAATTATTGATTCTCGTTACTTTGTTCTCCAGAAGTTCAAGTTTGTTTATGACTTAAAAATTTGTGTTGACATTATCCTCATCACAAGGTGCTAGTGAAAGGTCATTCTCGAAATTGAAATATATTTTGAACAGATTAAAAAATTTGATGAGCCAGTCAAGTTTACAATCATTAATGTTGATGTCTTTTGGAAAGGAACTTCTTCCAAGAATTAATAACAATGCAATCATTGATGTATTGACATCGACTAGTCAAACAATGAAAAAGTTATTATACTAGTCAATAGTGAATAACAGTTGTGTCTACTATTTCTAGACTAGACAGCAGTGTTATCTAAATATTTAATTTTTATCAATATTTAGGCTGCGAAGTTTAAAATTTCTTTTTTATACATAAAAGAACAATTAATACTCACGAAGGGATCTAAAAACAAATAAGCCCTTCACAGATAATGTAGGTAAATTTAGAAAAATAAGGGCGCCAATCAGGGTTGCTGTCCCGGGTAGCGTGAAGGCTCTCGGCGCTAAATATATATAGCGCCGAGAGCCGAGAGAGTATTAATAAAAAAATAATAATAGAAAGAATATATTAAAAATATATATATATATATATATTTAATTAATTCTTTTTATTAATATTTTTTTATTAATTCTTGTAGTTGGTATATATATATATATATATATATATATATATATATATATATATATATATATATATATATATATATATATATATATATATATATATATATATATATATATATATATATATATATATATATATATATATATATATATATATATATATATATAGGAGAGAAGTGGAGTCAATGTTCAAAATGCACAATCTGGGCTCATTCGAACTGCTGTTCGTTTCAAATTACTGGTCAAGCAAAATTTGATTTATGTGACTAGTGACAGTTTGATTATAGCTGTAATATATTATAAAATTTATTTCTTGCTAATCCTCTTAAAGATCTGTTTTGTTTAACTTTACTCATTTGAGCTATTAAAAAAAAAATCTGTCTCATTTTGCCCCGGTATGCGAGGAAAAATGAGACAAGATAGGTGCTGTCAATAAATGATCTCTGGTGACCGAACCACTGCAGTTTTGCAACTTATATTTTGTAAGCTTCAAGTAGGATGGTAGAAGAATTGAAAAAAATTAAGTTATTTTAATAAAAGTTGTTTTAGATAAATGTATTAAATATTTATAAAAAACATAAGATGAAGTGGGCTGCGATGACCAAATTCCCGGGCCGCTTTTTCAAGCCAGTCTAACCCTGACCCCATATCATGAATAATATCTTGAATCATTTTATTTATATTAAATGGATAATCTATTTTGGTGATAAATGTTTTTGTTATTATACTTTTTAATATTATTTTTATCATTATTTTTAGCATTGTTTTTATAACAAATATAATAATTTAAAGTCATTAATTTATATAATATTATATATTAACTTTAACTTTATTATATAACTTTATTTACACTGTCCCGTCACAAAAGTCCCTTTTCATTGTCCCTTCACAACGGCTCCTTTGTATTTACCGTTCATAAAAATAGTAATGTAATAATTTTACTATATTATAAATAAAAATTTTTTTTGGTAAAATAAATTGATATTTGGTAAAATATTGATAATTGGTAAATATTGATAATTGGTAAAA